CAACAACTTGAAAACAAGTCTGCACTTATGGGGGGGGGGGGGGGGGATCAACCTCTGGTGAAGGGAATTGAAATCCCTGATTTCCAACCCCTTTGGTGCACCACTGATGTAGGTGACTTGGTAACAAGGACATTGGGGTTTATAAGAGGGGGTTTAGGTCGGCTTCTGAGTGGGGTGTTACAAACCCCTTAACCCGCCCTCCCCCATCGGTGTGCCAGTGGAAGTCATTATTTGTAGCTTTTAATTGTAGAGTTGTATTTGTGTTGTAAATGAAAAGGAATTGAAGTGGATGAAAGAAATAATTGCCGTCGGCAGGAAACAGACCTACAACCTTGGAATAACGCGTACGATGTTCCACCAATTGGGCTACAGCACGTGACAGTCATCGATACACCGTATTTGCAGAGTGGCCGAGATTGCCCAAAAAAAAAAAACGATTCGAGTTCGCGAATGTGTGAATGACTCTGCACAGAACGAGGCAAAACGAGGCAACCGCTGCTCCCCCAGTGTGGTCACCGCATTGACGAAGGGACGATCGTGACGTCGCATATCACGTGTCGCACGCAGTTTAGCAGAGAAAGAATAGTAGTACCACGTAGTGAGCACACTTTGCGTGAATACATGAGCACGCGCCGCAGGGTGGCGGACGCGGTGGTGGTGAAAAGCTTTTGTTAACCAGTGAATGACAGACCAAACCCGACCCCCCAACTCCCTCCTCACTCGCAATATGACGGGTGACCTCATCTTCCTATCTAGGTTGCAATTCAAATGAAGAAGGTTCCCCTCTCCCCCAAAAAAACTTTTGGCCTACGCGTCTGCCTATAGACTAGTACATGCGCTAGAACGGGAAGAGTAGTTTACTGACAGAAGCCACGAACGCAAAAGCTATAACGCATACCTTAACGAAAGATTGACCAAGAGAAAATCAATAGTTAAAATATTGTAGCGGCATACATTTGACGAAAGCAGTACAGAGAACATGACAGGAGGAGTGCTGACTCAAACTATACAGCGCCCGTCCTGTCATGTTCTTCTCTGTACTGTCCTCGTCAAATGTAGCGCAACAATGTTTTATTGAAGGACGCATCGCCAACTAGCCCTGCAACGTGCTTTGTTAAGCCGAAATCAATATGAGTGTGCTCGAATGGGAATACAAACCGGGCTGCATTTACGTTGCGAAAGCTTATTCATGCATACCGCGAAAATTGCGCAATGACGTAATATTGAAACATGTCACGCATGCAATCCGGGATGCGACACAACACACTTGTTCATATATATCATAGTTTTCGAATAGTGAGAGCGATGGTAATAAAAAGGATGAACTTACCTTTAAATATAGAATGCACCTATCGTTTGCATTGATTGATATGTGCGGTTTAGCGTCCCAAAACCACCATATGACTATGAAAGACACCGTAGTGGAGGGCTCCGGCAATTTCGACAACCTGGGGTTCTTTAACGTGCACCGAAATCTGAACACACGGGCCTACAACATTTCCGCCTACATCGGAAACGCAGCCGCCGCAACCGGGATTCGATCCCGCAACCTGTGGATCAGCAGCCGAGTACCTTAGCCACTAGATGACCGCGGCGGGGCACACCTATCGTTTGCAGAATCAGCAAATGCATAGAAAGGTAATCACAGATAAAGGTGACCATTCATGTCCATGCATCCAGTTTTGCAGAAAAGAAGTAGCGAGGAAGTATTGCACGTAAGTCGAAGTGTCCATTTTTTCGCAGGAATTGTTTGCGGAGCTATAGGCCTAACTGACCAGTCACTGTAACAGTCACTTCACAGAAAGAAACATACTTGCATACGGTTCGTCCGCAGTAACTCGGCTGCTGACCCGATGAAAGCCGGTTCGATTACCGGCCGCGGCAGTCTCATTTCCATGGAAGCGAAATGGTTGAATCCCGTGTACTCTGCTATATGTCAATGCACGTCAAAGAACACTAGATGGTCGAAATTTCCGGAACCCTCCACTGCGGAGTCTCTCATATCGTGCGTGGTTTTGGGATGTAAAACTCCAGATGTTTTTGTTACTTGCATACGGGGCCACTCTTGTAGAAGATGCGGCGAAATAACTTTACAGCTATGCTTGTAATCACCGTAAACTATGCACGACACTTGAAGAACTCGGAATAACGCGACAGAGCGCACGAGCGGCAAGCATTGACGAGGCGCACACGCGAATTCGTTGAGCACAATAGGTGACCAGTAAAAGAGCGAAGGATTGTGGGATGCACCGTCTGCTACCGGCTTCCGGTTCGAAAAGAGTAGACGACGGTGAACCGCGCTTCGCCGCAAGCCTCAGATTATTCGAGATTCGCGCGCGCGGTTGCCCGTTTATCTTCGTCCTGATAAGCTATGGTCGGTTGTTGAGCCGTTGGCTGCTCCAACTCGAGCGTGAATGGCAAACGCATGAATCTATTGCCACAAAACGAAGAAAGAAAAATTAGGTGGCCCGCGGCTGTGAAGAGAGCCACGGCGACAGGTAGCCTCTGAGTATACACGGAACGTTAAATCCAGAGTGTGCGAAAAGAATTTTATCACATATACATGTGTATTCCACACTAAAAAAAAAGCTTACGTATGAGTTCGCTGTGAATATTATATTGAGAAATAAACTGTCGCGCAGGCGCACCTAGCAAAGATATTATGAGAACGTGCGAGTAAAAAATGGCTGGCGCTCATCTGCCATACGAGATGAGCGCCGGCCATTGCACCCATATATATGACAAAAAAGCAAAAGCTTCACTCAAGAGTAAGTTTGCGCGAAGCGCTGGACGAGTGCATTTGCGTTCATCTTGGCCAAACTGTGCGCCAGCACGGCAATCAAAGGAAGAAGTGCATTAAACAAGAGCAGGGTTTAGATTATTCGGCGCCGTCTATGTCTGACTGTATTGTTTATGTGCCGCCGTGCACCTTAATCAAGATCAGCGTTTATATAAGCATCTGGCTTCGACTAAGAAATGCATCTTATAGCGCAAAGAGTTGGGCTGATTGGTATTGCATTTTGAAAGAAACTTACTTTCCTTAGTTCGCCGGGAACGTTTCAGAAAGAAAACAGAGCAGTGAGATAGTCATATCCCACTGCTCTGTCGTGGAAGCACATGCAGTTGGCTAACCAAATATGGTTCGTCAAACGCGAGTGCTCAGTGGCGTCGTTACAACGGTTTTTGAAGCCATCACCGAAGTCGAACGCGAGGTGTCTATTGTCACCCCCTAAAACTCGTCGCTCTCGTTTTTCTGCGTCTTTCTTCAGACATTTAGCTCACCAAAGTTCCCGTTTATCCCTCATTATCAAGGCGATCAACATGTATACGCCCGTGCGCTCAGATTTGGGTGCACGTTAAAGAACCCCAGGCGGTCTAAATTTCCGGAGCCCTCCACTACGGCGTCTCTCATAATCATATGGTGGTTTCGGGACGTTAAACCCCACATATCAATCAATCAAGGCGATCAACATCCACATGGTGGTCCGACACGACTTGATTTCGGAGCTGGGACAACGCAGACAACTTCGGCTAAGATGGACCAAGATTCTTCCTTTTATCACACGACTATGGCACAACGGCTGAACTGAAGCACTCGACCGCTGACCAGATGTGGCAGAGAAAGCAGCGTGTCACGTGGTTAATGACGTAGAAATGACTGGCGAGACAGAGTGATACATATTTCATGTTCGTAAACAGCAGCAAGCACCGTCGACATACCAAGGAGCATGTAGCGATGTCTCGGTGCGTATGTTCCGGCCAGTTCGAAGCGAAGCTTGCCACCGCAACAACAGCGTCCACAGGCACATGCCCTGTCGCTTTATACAAGTGTGATTCCGTCTGTACATAGCGCGCACAAAAGGCGAGGCAGTATGATCCTCGATTTCAAAATTAGATACGAATAAATTCGACTTCAAGTTAATTGTTTTCTTCCTTTTCACCCAACTTCAAATACACATGTTCGTCTACGGTGAGTTTCATCAAACAAGCGCAACGAGATACGAATTTGCTACGAACGGCGCTTCGTGAGTTGCAACGCATGTCTGTGTTCTTTTTCGTTTGTTTTTGTTTAAATTTATTTATTTATTTATTTATTTATTTGAGCATACTGTTAACCCACATTTGAGGGTCATTACAGGTAGGGAGTACATAAAAGTAATAATTGGTATATAAAAACACTCAAGTAATGTCAACTGTCAACAATAACAAAAAAAATCATCAACATTGGCATGACAAAAAGAAAGCGAAACATCAACACATCATCCAACGATTTTTAGGTAACATATAGTTGTCAAGCAAATATTCAAAAGCAAATATTCAATTCAAATGAATTGGAATTCCCTGGATAATTTTTAAGTTGCGTAATAAATAAAACGTATGCCTGTAAATGTGCTTCACATTCGAAAACATTACGATCAGCGTGTTTTCCGGCACGCTGCTTTGTTTTTAATTTGTTCCACGTTAAGTGCGTGGCGCAAAAGGTGAAGGAATTAAATTATCACGGGAACGATACCTTCAGCAGCCTTCTAAACTTTCAGCTAGGACAAATCACAACAAAACGTTTAGGCAGCCACCCAGCCACATTAATGCCCACAAGTTCGCTCTCTTTCCTCGCGCAATTTTTCATTGGAACGCATTACCTGCGGAAGTAGTGAATGCTGCCTCGACGGCTTCATTCACTCAACAGATAGAAAAGATTAATTTCACCATATAAGTGATGTATGCTGAAAATAGTGCAATTCATCCGGCTACAATTGTTGAAAATATTCTTAGTTGTGCGCAGTTCTGTTGAACAGCGAGAAAATATATTTGACCTTTCTGTACTTGATAGTTATGTATTCTTTCATTTATGCCCTGTACTCCAGTGTATTACTAGTTATTGCTTGAATGTATTGTTTGTATCCCACTCCTGCATGGGCCCGGGTAGGGCCTGAAGTATCTGTAAATAAATAAATAAAAAACACGCGAAGCAAGCGTGCTGCTGCCAAAACAGAGTGACTCATGTGGCTGCAAAGGTTTATTACGATTTTTGAGTATCTATATTTTAAATACGGTTAAGTATGTTTTAAAAAAAAGCATTTCGAAATATACATTGTCACTCCTTCTGAAGAAGGAATCGATGTGGTTCCAAAACATCAGGAAATATTTTTTATTGTAGTTGGAGCCACTCTAAAGCTTTACCGTATATACAGCCTTTCTAAAAAGTTAAAGTTGTCGTAATCTTCGTCGTATCATAACGTTTAATTTCACTAATAATGCGTCAGCAACACTTCGACGCAGTTGGACACCAGTGCAGCAAGTTCTCCAGTCCCGCGCCGACAGTATTGCAGGTCTTCAGTTTCACTGCCTAAAGTGCCACAATAGCAGACTGAACGCCGACGAGGCGTACAAAACTCATCGTCCAGGCATCGCGTCACTTCGCGAAAGACTTGTGGCCCAGTCACAGGCGCGAACACCACCGGTATCAATTATCGCTTAAACGGTGTAGTCCAGCCTATCGGATGTCCTCGGTATCGGTGATCGTGTACTATAAACAAAGTAAGGGCGGCTCACAGCTGTCTCAGCGACTACCCAGATTACATCAAGTGGTAGTCACGAAACAACGCGTTCGATGGTCATCACTACCCGCACTAATCGACAGCGGTTAGCGAAGCTGTCACTTCGCACTAGTGATTTCATCACGATGCGCCGATCACTCCACTGATCACCACCGTGCACAGCGTCAGTCTCCGAGTAGAACGCGTGATCGTCAGCAGGCGGCTTCACTTGTGGCCGTGAGGGGAACGGTGGTGTTGTCCGAGAGGTGCGCCACCTGCTGAGAGGTCGGCGCAGCCTTCTGTGCCGCCTTCTCCTTGGCGGACTGCCTTCTCGCCCATAATGCACGCGCCAACCAGATGAGGCCAAAAAAGGCGTTGGCGACGGTGAGCGCGTGGAAGAGGCCGTCGTAGTCTCCGATGGTGTCGCGGAAGTAGCCTGCAGCACAAAAGGCACAGTAATAACAGCGATAAGTAATTAAAAAAAGTGAAATGACATTTCTTAGTAAAGTCACAGAACACCTATATACTGGTAAAGTGCTTGCACAGCAAATGCATGTGCACAAAAAAATCTCGAAAAGTAACGTGCTGATTGAATGCGAGGTGCTTCTGCGGTGGACAATTAAGAGAAATGGGGGAGCCATTGCCCCTCTCTCTAAAGCCTGTGCCAGCACAGCCCCCCTCCCCTGCCGTAGGGTTCCTCGACGACGGAGGAAGGAAGCGCACATCGAGATTCCTACCATGTTGTTTTCAATGGGGCTAGGGTGGTGTACCATCAGAGGTGGCAGTGAGCGCATGCACACATGTGTGTTGCAAGCGGCCACCGCAACGATCGCCCGCTGCCACTTCCGTTAGAAACGAGGAAGAGGGAAAAGGGGAGGACAGGAGGTTTTCGACTCACGCGGCAGGCATCTTTCTAGAGGAGGCGTTGGACAGACGATAAGCCACCCTTTACCCACCCGTGTAGTCGACGTGCCTGGCAAGTTCACGGTATCCACAAAACGGTATCCATTGTGCAGTTTGCACGAGAACGTCCATGCACCTCGTGACGTTTGGCGCAAAGAAAAAAAAAACTGAATTTTCAAGCTTCACTGGCGTGAAACCGAGGGAGGATCGAAACATGCAGTGCGCGCCGGTGGTTCCTACAGCAAAATTTTTCGTCTTACTACTTTACTCGCCACCCATCCACTAACGCACCATCACTTTGCGGGTAAGTTTCAAGAAGTGGTATTTAGGGTAGGTGACTTTTACCGCAAAGGTACGCGTTTGTGTCTCCGGTTTTAGCTGAGAAACTTGAGCGCCTCGGTAAATTTCGTCGGGAATTAAGACAACGCGGCGGAATCCAACAATGTTCAAGGCAGTAACGACGAACGTGTAACTCTTATTGTCCATACTATGGATTGTAGACGAATAGTGGGATTTACTCAATTTTCGTGGAGCATACCAGTTTATGGTGGACCGTGACGACGACATGACAGGCCGACCACCCGAGACCCTAAGGTATTCGCCCCTAAATAATGCCGCATCCACCACTACTCGCAGACTGCATCGGATTAAAGTGATTGCCACTATGTCTGGGATCTGTCGTATTTCAACGACAGATTATGAGACAGCGGCAGTAATTATAAAAACATACAAACGTCAGAAAAACATATACAAAATAATTCTGATGTGTGGGCAAAGTGCTAAGGCAGTTTTGTGCAAAAAAAAAAAGTTTTCATTAACTTGAATGTTGGTGAATCACAATTCACAACAATCGACTCGGGTATGTCTTACACTCTCTCGGGGGCTGCGGGAAGAACTTATTTATTAAAGGCGGTGTTTCTACAGAAAAAAAGGTTATTGAATGTTGTTGAAATCGAGACGCGAGTAGCAAACTGGAGGTAGCTGGCGTAAGCGGTCTCGCCAGCAGCGCGCATGCAGGTCGCCCGTATCGCAACAACTTTACATTCCGCACACGCTCCGAGCCAACTTTTGCCACTAGCTTGTTGCCAACCGGCGACAGGTTTCCGGGGAGGAAAATTCTGCGCCGCGAGACATCCGGCGTGGAGGATCGTACGGCTGAGACTTCTCGATAACCGTCAATCGTGGTTTCGTGGTGACTGTTCCTTCTGTTAGCTATACATTGGCATTGCCAGGAGGTGGGGCATGGAGATGGAGGTCTACACGCACCCCCCCCCCCCTCCCCCAGAAAATTTTTAATTTGCATATACACGCGTACATATACAAACATACAAGCATGCACAAAAGAAAGGAAGAATTAGGATACCTTAAAGCTTCGCCTTTAAGGGTTGAACGCAATAGCAATGTCCTGTTCCCAGTGCGTACGTCAAACTTGTTCTTGTTCTTGTTCACCTATTGATCGTGGCGCATACCAACTATGGGGGATTGGCCAAGAATTAAGTGGTTTTAAAAATTATTGTTCACACAGTTCATGAAACATTTTCGAACTTGCTATGCACCCCCTACGTGGCCTTACGAGAATAGACACAGTAACGTATACGTGCCTTTTGTAGTGGGTGAGCGGCTTTAAACCACGAATTCGTTATGGTAACCACATGTTCCGGCTCTCGCTGGCAATGGGCGCTTTTACCACGCATTGTTAATGCAATATTTACTGTTGTATATTGTGAAGCATGTATCTACTTTCACTCCATTTCCAAACAGGGCAAGTTATTTTCACTGGATTCACAAGCAGAAGCTCGGCTGTGTGGTAGAACGTCCGCTTGCCATGCGAACGACCCGGGCCGCGGACCTAAACAATTCGGGTTCGATCACCACTCAAACCCAGGACTTTTTTATCATGTATTTTATTTGCATCGTTCTCAATATTTCGCTCACAGCCAACGACATCGACACCGCAATGTCTGCGGGACGCGCTGTCTAACGCTATCGCGTTAAAGCGTTAGGCTTCTGCAGCACACACAACATGCACAGTTGTGTTCCAATTCTTAGACAGCACGTAGACAGTCTACGCAAACTGCTTAAAAGACAGCACCGAGTCTATGTTGCCCGAAAGTTGGAACACATCTACACGGTTTTTATAGAGTTACTGTATATGCTACCTTTAGGTATATGCTACCTAAAAGGTAGCATAATACAGTAACTCTAGGCTTTTACACAACGAGGCGCCACCTCGCGTTGAGAAGAGAAAGTCAAAATAAACAAACGTTACAGCTGTATTTTCTGGCTTAATTTGTGCTAAAATTTGCAAAAAAAAAATTAAACTTTACTGACATTGAGCTTCTGCTTGTGCACGGACTACCATTGCGGCGAGAATTCGGTCTATCTGAGCGATTCGCTGAGTCGCCATCTTGTTTAGACAGCAAAGTAGCCTGCATCGTATTTGTCTACGATGCGTTCTTCTCGGAGCCGTCTACTTTGCCGGCTACGTGAGAATTGGAATGGGACCTAAGATGGCCGCCGTCCATTTAGCTGTCCATTTAGCCGTCTACGGTGAGTATTGGAACACACCTACAGTCCCATGCGAAAGCTGGAGGAGCGGCCCTTCTACACTTGCATGTGAGCCACTACGTTATAAATGGACATAATTTCTACGAAGTGGGCAAGCGGTGCCCCTATACCAAGCCATTATTTGTGTAATTCTGCGGAGAAGCGAGGCATCCGCTACATCTCAGTAAGGCAATATGTGCGCTTGTCGATGCTGTGGTACCTGCGATACAGTAGTGGTGCAGGCTCTTCTCACAATCTGTCGATGCTGTGGCTGACGATGAAAAATTACGCATAAGCTTTTCGGAATACGCTGGAAGACAAGCGAACCCTACTCGTTACGCAATTTGCCTTGTGTGACGCTTCGTTGTTATTTTACTGTTCCATCAGGCTAAATTATTTCTGTTAACGTGATCCCTTACTCGACACTTCGTCTGTAAAGGGTTTTTCTGCGAAGGCGCTTCAGGCGCCGGTGTGGCTCTGTGGTAGAATAGTGAACTGCCACGCAGAGGTCTCAGGTTCAAGTATCATCCGATCCTAGATATTTTTTTTGTCATTTCACATGATGACTGTTGCAAACAAGGGCAATGGTAGCGGTGGCGGCTGACGATTACGCCAACAAGATTGGTTGTTGCTATCTCATGACAGCTTTCGCTGTAAAAGATACGCAACTGGTGGTCGAACACCCACAAATTCCCCCTCCGAAAAAAAAAACGTCTGGCCGTCATCAAGGTTTTGATTTCCGGCCACGACTGCTATAGGTTTTAATGGAGTTGAAATGCAGTAATAACCAGCCACGTACTTGAAAAAAACATGAGCGAACGTTAAAGAACCCAAGGTAATCAAAATTAATGCGGTGTTTCTACTGCGAAGTTCATAATAATTATGTCATGACCATGACACGTAAAACGTCGTTAATTTTTACCTTTAAGGGTTATTTGCAACACTTCTTGAAGTAGCCATCGAATGACGTCATTAACGGAGTTTATTGCTTCACGAATCGAACGCAACGTTTTTTTTTTTTTTAGAATCAATCAAGCGTGAGCTGATTTTGCCACATGCTGTAATTGCTTTTTCTCTTCTTTCTTTCCAACGGGCGTGCTGCAAGATATAGGCAGGGAGAGATAGCACGGGAGAGATAGCACGGGAGAAAGAAGTTACGTTACGCGCGCGTCGTGACCTTGGGTACTGTTTGTGTGATCATGAATGAGCGCACAGGCACGTGGCGGCCTCCAGCGGCGGCTGCGTTAACTATGCAGCTCAAGATATTGAAATCAGTCAATGGCCGGTAAATTTGGGCATGCGCGGCGCAGTCATTTGAGTATATGGCATCACGCATAGAAAGAAGAGGGAACAATTTCGAGTGGTCTTTGAGAATTGTGAATTCCAGGTCACGTGCCGCGCAGTAATATTTCATTATTTGGCTCGCGTGTTCTCGGTAGCCTCGACTATATACCAATCAGCAGCGTCATAGGGCCCCTCTAATGTGTTTCTTGTGGTGCAATGGCGCAAGATACAATGACGTCTGAGGAAGTAAGCGTTCTTACCGACGACAGGCGGCCTCGTCAGAATTATGAGTCCCGTGATGAACATGACTCCCCCGAACATCATGGCGAGCGACTCTCTCTTGAAGTCGTGCTGCAGCAGGGGCGCGATGATGCCTATGTTGATGCCGGTGCCGCAACCAAACAGCAGCGAAGAAAATATGAGCGGCACAAGGGTCTTCGAAGTCCTGATAGCCTGCGCACCGGCGACACTGAACACGAAACCGGCCAGTTTGGAACACTCGATGGGCAGGTACTTGCGGTCCACGAACCACCCGCTGAGCACGCGAAACGCCAGGTCGGCGGTAGAGTAAGCGTGCAGGAGGTAAACGGCGCTTTCTACACTCAATCCCTTGTCGACGGCCATGTCTGCGTACACCATGAAGTAAGTGGACATGGTGTACACTTCCAACGCGTAGGACAGGCCGTCCACGTAAAACTTCCAGCTCAAGAGCGCTTTCCCAGTGTTCTTCCACAGCAACATGGTTTTGTCGCGAACTCCCTTAAGACCCCGAGGCATGTCGCGCACGCCCAAAGCGTCGCAACTGGACCCGATGACCCTGTCGTCTGTTAGGTCTTTGTTGGGGCTGCAGACGATCTTCACTGCCGAGGAATCCGTCGAAGTGCCTTGGAGTCCAGCATCCCCTCCATTTCTGCGGCGCCCGATGCGTCGTGGATATTGCACTTGGCGACGCCGTAAGCCTCGGCCTTCTTCAGGCCCACGTCGCCCTCCGAGGAGGCAACTCCCCGGCGAGCTGGAGAGGTCTTGCGGGCCTTCAGGGCCCACGACGGGGTCTTGATGACGATGCACGCCGGCAGGGCATTGAGGCAGAGGGCGCCAATGAGCAGAAACAGCTCGGGCGTGCCGTACGTGACGCGGAAGTAGTTAGCCAGCTGCGGGATGAAGTAGACGTTGTAGCACTGCGAGGACCACACGATGCTGGTGGCCGTGGCGCGCCACTTCTTGAAGTACAGCGACGGCAGCACGTTGGCGACCACGAAGATGCCCGAGGTCGCTCCGCCTGCGATGGTCAGAAACACACGGAACTAAATGAATGAACTGCTTCAAACATTAGTAAATGTGATATAATAAAAGAGGCTTTTTGAAACCCTCTGTTTCATACGAAATCTATTAGGAACCGCTTTTAAGAGAGTTGCATTAGGTTTCACTCCCAAACCTTTATCAACAAATTTTAATTGGACGCTAAGAATTAGAACTAACGAAAGTACACGAATCACTTCAGACTATTGCCTCTTTCTCATTTAACGTGGATGCAAGCAACACTCGATCTCGGGAAATGTGGGAAGTTCTGCTTTGCAGAACTCAGTACGGGAAACAAACATTGTGCATGCAATTGCCATATCTTATAAATATTTATACAAGTCACGCTGCGTAAACATATTGGTTTCAATAATTAGCTTGTTGTGTTAATTTTTGGCATTGTGCAATTCACTGAACACTTACTGTGTATAATGACTGAACAATCGCTTTTGTTAATACATTATACTTCTATAACAAGTCAAAGTCGAACAACGCATTTCTTATTGTAGATTGCTATTTGTGCATTACTTTTTTGCACTCTTTTACGGAGTCATGATAGTGGGTTACAATTTTTAGAATTACTGTTCTGTTTTCTGCCAAGTGTGACAGTCAGCGCACGTTTTAGAATATTCTTGTGGGTAAGTTGGTTGAACATTATGGCATGCGGTAGCGCACCACGCATGTAACGACGAACACTACAGGACAGCACAGGCGCTGTGTTGTCAACGCTTGTGTTGCTCTTTCGTGTTCGTGTTCATCGTTTAACCCGGTGTGCACTGCCACATATGCCGTAGTGAGGTTTGAGAGACTATTTTAGATGGCGTTTGTCCATTGCACACAACATCGCTTTTCTGTATGTCTATGTGAAAAATAAAACTGTAATAAACTACTTAGCCACCGTCTTAGAGGCTGTGGCGTGACATTGCAAGCATGGGGTCACGTAGTGACTTCTCCGCCACGGATGTCACATTTTGACGAACTGCGAAATACAAAAGGGTAGCGTGTACTTAGATTAAGCTCCACCTTAATTGATCACAGGCGATCACAATTATTCCGAAGCTCCTTACTGCGTGCTTCACTATTATGTCACGATATTGTCACGTAATATTACGTATATTTAATGAGTCAGGTACAAACCGTGAATCTTTGACACTGACAGCAGTGGCATCATTACGCGCTTTTGTACTCTTACTATAATGTGTCACCGGTTAAAATATCACACGAGGGGTTCAGGAACCAAGATGTCCGCGTTTTTAAAGAAGCGAATGCCGAGACAATTATGAAAGGTGGAGGAGATTGACGTCATAAATCACGTGATTGAAGCAGATTCAAAGACGGAGATGGAAGTAATGAAGAGTGTAATGACACTATATACAACTTCATGTTACTGTAGTCGGATACAGCTTAAACGGACGTCAGAGGCGCCACCCTGATGATGGCAACGCGTCAGCCTATCCTCTCCTCGACTGAAGAAATCTATAGTGCCACTTATGCACTCGGCAACGTTATACGAAGGCGGGGTTCACTGATAATCCAGATCATGACGTCACCCTTGAGTGCGCGCCCATTGGTGCAGGCTTGCGTGCGTATACGCCTATGAGGAGGAAACGCCGCACACTTTTCGTCCGACTATAGAAGTGGGTTCGCCCTCCACAACAAGTCACCGAGAGAGGTCGATCTCTGAGATCACAGAACTCTTGCCTTGCTTCTCCATACCTGAGATTACAGCAATCAATACTTGCTTTGCTAGTCGTTTCTCAGATCGTATCGATCAGTACCTGGCTCGCCTGTCGATTTCCGAGACTACAGCAGTCAATACATGCTTTGCTGGCTACGCATAATGTCACGCCGAAAGATAACACAAAGTGGTCCGAATTCTGCCTCGTACCGGCTAGCGAGGACATCGACTATTAATCGCTGGAAATCGCCGCAATCTAGTGCACGTTCTTGTCCCGTCTTTTTAGCACCACTTTTCACTCGTAAATCATGAATCAGCTAGCCTAAATATGTAGGTTACTGCGATAATTTATTTTTGAGTCATAGATTCAGATCACGCACGTCAATGTTTGAAATTATTTCTATTTATGTAAGAAAAAAAACCTATTGTGCTTATATTTAAAGTGTTAGAGGCCTGAAACGTTGTTTTACTTGCCTGTTGTTGTTTTTTTGTGCCTAAAACGCGCCTGTGTGTTGCCTCCATATTCAGCCCTTACTATAACCAGCATGTCTGGAGGCACTGTGCCATTGATCGTTCGTGTCTTGTCGAGAACTACATTCCGCACACAGAAAATAAATCATTTTAGCTCTTCTCGCCGTTGTTTTCGGTACTTCTCCATGCATTTTCCCGTTGTTTTCGCCCCGCCGCGGTGGTCTAGTGGCTAAGGCACTCGGCTGCTGACCCGCAGGTCGCGGGATCAAATCCCGGCTGCGGCGGCTGCATTTCCGATGGAGGCGGAAATGTTGTAGGCCCGTGTGCTCAGATTTGGGTGCACGTTAAAGAACCCCAGGTGGTCGAAATTTCCGGAGCCCTCCACTACGGCGTCTCTCATAATCATATGGTGGTTTTGGGACGTTAAACCCCACAAATCAATCAATCAATCAATCAATCTCGTTGTTTTCGGCATGGCGCAATCACTTCGCGGCGGATGCAGCAGCTAGGCCATCGCAGTCGCACGCATCTTTCCCGCCGTGCGCACTCACTGTACTCTCAGGTTCCCTCCGTTCCATCGGATGAGCTCGTCTTCTTCGGTATGAAGTAGCTCGGCTGAGCTATGTTCTTCGGTATAAAGTAGCTCCTTCCACAACGTCTCGTCCCGCACGGCCGGTGCAAACGCCGATGCAAACGTCCCCGTATTTCGCGTGAAGCTTGGCTTCCGGCTTGCCTGGTTTACGGAAGCTCATGCGTCGGAGTCAATAGTGATGCCCAGTAAATACGTATCATGCAGGGACGTAGCCAAAAAAGGTTCCCTGCCCCTTGCCCTCCCTCCCTCCTTCCCCCCTATCACAAAATTCGGGTGGAGGGGTGTTTTTCCGAGAGTAGTGATATTCAGCGTTTTTCAAGGCTTTCGACAATTACTGTTAATACGAGAATGTTTTATGCCGGGTTCCACCAAAACTTCACTGACGTATTTCCGTCACGGATATGACGTTGTAAAATTCACATTAGCCGCATGCAAAGCAATGAACTAAACCAGAATAAAAAAATTCGCAATTTTGGAGACACGGGAATCAAACCCGCGGCCTCTCGATAAGCGACGAAAGAAAGCGTGCGCCTTAGCCAACTGAGCTAGCGGCGCATTTCTTAGGCTTCCTTATAGGACGCATGCTGTGTGTGTCTCACTCTTTCGCTGTGTACTCTCGCTCTCCGTTTGTCGAAGTGGTGCCCCCGGCCTAAGAGTGGAAAACAGAATTACTGCATGACACCAACTAACACCGGTATGCTGCTAGTCTCAGCCCTTTGGCGCCCTGATGCCAGCACTCTAACTGACGCTGTGGCATCAGAGCCTATATACCAACGCCGCCTATGTGGTGTTGACCATACTTGAAACAAAATGTAGCATTGCCTCCGCAATCAGCTCCGACAAGGTTTCTGGGGCTGATTTCGCAGGCCACAAACGCGGTCTGTAATTGCGACGCACTCCACGCACTGATTTGACTCGGTGACGAGGCAGTCCTGTGCTTCGTCTGACGCGTTATGCAAGCATGTGCAGTACAGGGCAGCTTCGATACGCAAAAATCGTGAATCTCCACCGTCTACTGATACGAGTGTGATGGTACCGACTACGAGAAGTGTTGCATTAAGCATCACTGAAATACAACAGTGTCGACAGGTGAATGTCGCGCAAGTCAGTTCGGTGCAGTGATGGACATGCCATGGGGGAGCGGGAGGCCTTCGCGCAGTCATGGCACAAGCTGAGCACTCTGTCTCTCGCGCTTGTGAATAAGAGCGCATGGCGACCCTACGCTGACATAGAGACACCGATGCAGGACCGAAACGATCGTGAGTTCATGATCGTGATCGATGCGGACCGTGAGTTCAAAAGCGATCGAATGACCGTTCGGTTTCGCTTGCACGGTTTACGAACGCTGTGGTTCAAGGGTGATTTGCGCGACGCTCAGGTGCGTGCAGTGTCTCCTGAAAGTGGGTACTGGTCGCGAGTTGTTGATTGGCGTGGTGGAAAAAAATGTGCTCCCAGATATTAATCAACATCTAAGAGTGATGTAGCCACTAAGCACCAATAGACATTATATATCAATGAGTAATAAACAATGAACTGCTTCTGTGAATGCACGTTTCACTGTCACGTGTTGTGCTGATTCCTATATCAGACGGATAAACCACTTTTTCTTTTCATACATAGAGCCTTCAGTGTATGCCCGCACTGTTTACGTACCGTGAAGGACGCCGAAGAAGAAATTGATGAAGTCGATGTTGGGAGCGAAGTAGCAAATCATCATGGACGTCGCCGTGATGAGCACGCTGCCCAGGGACACCGCCTCGTACGAACACAGCTCGCACAGGTAGCCTCCGATGAGCGCTGAAAGCGTGGCAGTGCGGAATAAGCATGATGCGCACTACTAGCTATAACAAACTTATACCGGTAGTCTCTACTTTCATGTTAACAGCTAGAGGTCACATGATTGATGATTGATTGATTTGTGGGGTTTAACGTCCCAAAGCTAGAGGTCACATGACTTCAGCTGAAACGTCACTTGCGACGTCACACCACCGCCGTGCAATTTGAATGGAAGGCAAGGTTCTGTCTCGCTAAGCATAACTATGAAAAAAAAACAGGGTAGTTGTCAAACACTCGTTCATAGCATGAAGCCTCTAAGAAACACATAATAATACCTCTAAAAAAAGTGTTTGTTGCCGAGAAGTTCATCCTGAACCCTGTATCGAGCCAGAAACCAACTCCTTTCCGAGGTGGTCCAAGAGCAACCGCCCCGAAAAGTCTTGGTCCCGTCACTATAACCGGACTACAACGAATTTCTCGGCAACCATAAAAGCTTAATTCCTGGGAAATCCGTATGGATTTCCTCGTCACTTCGTGCTACAAACTGATGGTTGTCAATTTTGTTTCCCTAAGACTTCCGCCACCTTGCAGGCTACCGCATTACTGATGTGAAGATAGTAGGCATAATTATCGCTATTGTGCCAGTGTGTGTGTATGGCCCCGTGGGAACAGGGCGCCAATGACCTACGCCGAGCCTCTTCGCGGTTCACACTATTTTGCTAGCATCACTACTGCCAGAATCAAGGTGCGATCACCAGCCCACAAACGAGGTCTCTAAAGGCAGAGTCCAAAACATTTAGGTTCGTCACACAGATGCTCGAGGACGAAGTACAAACAAATGTGTTTCATGCCCTCTCAGATAAAACCATCACCACTTACGTCCACTATGATTACAAAAAGGAAACATTATTATCAGCTATAAACTGTTCATTAGGCTTGTCCCCTCCAACAAAATAATAAAGTGCGTTCACTGCGCGTATCTGGTTCTCAGGGCATGGTCATGGCCCAAGCGCTTTTTTTTATTTGAATTGAATTTTATTCATCAAGCGTGAACATGGAAAAGTGCATGGGTACAGATTCACTGGGAGGTCCCAAGGTAAGAACCGCAGGCGGGACCTCCCATGATGAAAAAAAAAAAGGTAATCAAGCTTTACCTAATTCTGCCGCATTGCCGGGTGCACTTTTTTCCGAGACATAGCTTACTGGCGATCCATAGTGCTGCTGACACATATTCATTCCCGCTCTTTTTCTTTGTTTGTACTAATGAACACACGTACTATTTCCTGCAGCCGCTATATCGCACGTACGCAAACAGACCACACCTCTGCATACATATATCATGTCAGCACACATAAACGAACAACGCCAGGTGGTCGTCATTTCCGGAATCCGGCTCTTTGGCGCTGCTCATAATCATATCGTAGTGTGGTTATGGCTCGCGAGACCCAGGAAATTACTGTTGCTTACAAACGTCATCTAATCAAGTCATGTGCATTTTTGTTTGGTTTTTTTTTTCAAACTTGCGACAGTGTTATTACGACACGAACTATCACGATGAAAAGAAAGGCAAACGTCGGAAATCACTGCGACCAAGAAAAGGTAGCGTAAGCAGCGCAGTCGGCAAGTTTTTCGCTATTCCACGGCGCATGCGCGTGCTTCCCCTGGCGGGGAAGTCACGAAACCTCTCTCATTCTCGGAGGCTGTCACTCTCGCGACACCGGTTGCTGCTGCGGCCCCTACCCGAAACGGCAAAGGACACCGCTGTCACAGAACGAGCGCTAAACAAGAGCGCGCCGCCAAATACTTGCGACAACGGGCGGCAGAAACGCCGCGAGGTAAAAAGAAAAAAAAAAGAAAGCAAACATCCAGGGCTCCCGGGCGCGCGCTCTCCCCGCATAAGCACGGCTTCGCAGACGATCCTCCTCACCCCACATCGGCGGCCCAGCAAGACCGCGATTTTTCTCGAACGAAGGAGGCGGGGTCAGACCGAGTGAATCATCCTCGAGAGAGGGCAGTCGAACCGTCTCGTGCTTCTCCCCAGCCTTCGCTGCGTATCGCGCCGACGAAATGACGAGAAACATCTGGAAAGTCGCGCGCAAGGTATTTAACCGAGCAGCCGAGACGAGAAATCAGGAGGAGACGGAAAGTTAGCGCCGGAGCGCGTAGGAATTCCGCCGTGTAGTCGGCGAAGGTTCTGCCCGTAGTGACAGAACAGGAGGAGACGGAAGTGAGCGCCAGAGTGCGTAGAGATTCCGCCGTGTAGTCGGCGAAGTTTTTGGTCCGTAGGGACGGCTCGAGCTACAGGCAAGAGCGTGGGTTTACCGCTATCGAGCGAAGACGCGGGCAACAGCTGCGTGTGTGAAGCCGACGGATTTCCGGCGAAGAAGTTTGAAGCTTGGAGAGTGGCCATTTGAGGACGCGAGGTTTCCTGGAAGAGAAACTTCGAGAACTACGGAACGACAACAACGCTGGACTTTGAGTGAGTGATTCTCGGAAGAGTATCATTCAGACTTTTGTTCCAAGGACTTTGGACTGAATAGGTTATCTATCTCTTTAGTCCTTAAGTGTCTTGGTTGTTCAATGCATGCGACTGCATTGTAGTGCGTATTGTTGTCTGTGTCCGTTGTTTTGAGTGTGGCTGATTGTACTGTGTAGTACGTTGTTTGATTGGTGACATATTGTACTAAACTATTGTGGAGTGTGCATACTTGTGTATTGTTTTTGATCTGCCATTATTGAGAATATAGTATTTGTTTTGTTTATCAACTCTCGACTCTGACTTGTTCTTTGGGCCACAGCGGGCGTCCGCTGGCGCACCAATAAGGACCACTTCTAAATTGTCCACGCTTTCGTGGTGCGGTTCGGGGGGCCAATACTTCGGCTCTTGGAACTAGCCCGGCGATCGCCTCCCTAATAACGGGACAGGTGTGACAATTAATCTGGCGTCCGCGAAACAGGACCTTTTGGTGCACAGTGTGTCCAAAGTAGTGAGAAAGAGCCTCGAGTTGTTGATAGTGCTATCGGAACGATTTTGTGTGTTGTTCAGTGTTCTCGTTAACGAGTGCAGGGGAGTGTTCCGATAGACTGATTTAGGCAGATACTTTTTGCACGCGGCAAGGTTTTAGTTGCGAGTTGCGAGACACAATGGATCTCGAAAAGTTAGTTGCTCTTGGTGAAAAGATGGGTCTTTCTGGCGTCGAACTACGGAAGTGGGTCACCCAGAAGGAAAAAGAAGAAAAAGAGAGGGCCAAGGAAGAAAAGGCAGCTGAGTTGGAGAGAGAAAGGCTGGCCGCTGAAAGGGCGAGAGAAGAAAGAGAAGCAAGGGAGCGACAGCTGAAAGAAGAAAGAGAGGCAAAAGAGCGACAGCTGAAGGAAGAACGAGAGCAGCAATTGAAGTTGGAGCTGGAGCGAGAAAAGTTGGCAGCCGAAAGGGCGAGAGAAGAAAGAGAGGCAAAAGAGCGCCAGCTGAAAGAAGAAAGAGAGGAAAGGGAGCGGCAGCGGCAGCACGAGATGGAACTCGAGCGGCTCCGTTTGCAACAGCGAAGCGAAACTCCCGTCCAAGCTAGAGTTGAAAGCAGCGAACGGGAAGATCACGGCTTCCGCTTGAACCCAAGCAAGCTGCTCGTAGCGTTTGATGAAAGGAAGGACGACCTAGACGCGTACCTCCACAGATTTGAGACGATTGCGAGGAGCCAGAATTGGCCGGAACAGCAATGGGCAACTGCTTTGAGTACTTGCTTGAGTGGTGAAGCGCTCAGTGTGTACGGTAGGCTGACGCCGACCGATGCAGCCAACTACGCAAAGGTGAAAGCTGCTTTGTTGAAGCGATTTAGATTCACTGTGGAAGGATTCCGGGACAGATTTCGGACAGGAAAGCCAGCTGATGGTGAGACGGCCACGCAGTATGCCGCCCGACTTTGCCATTATTTCGACAGATGGATTGAACTTTCAGGGACAGCACAGGAGTACGATGAGCTTAGAGAGCTCCTAATTAGAGAACAATTTCTTACTAGTTGCCACCCAAGCCTGTCGCTGTATTTGAAAGAGAGGAAGGCGGAGTCATTTGAAGGAATGCTTGAATTGGCTGATCAATTCTTAGAAGCGCAAGGAGGAACTAATTTGGCCAGGGTCAAGAAGGAGTGATCTGATGATTCGAAGAAATTGGCTCCTGAAGAAAAGAAGCGAGCACCAGAGAGCATGCAGCGATGTTTTCTGTGTAACCGAGTGGGTCATCGCGCGAAAAACTGTCGAACAATCTTTACGAGCCCTACGGTAGTGAAATGTTTTAAGTGTGGTCAGACTGGGCACAAAGCAGATGCTTGTCGGAACGGAGTGAGTCAAACTCACCAGGTATCCTGTGTTCAAGCGGCACCGAAATCCGATAATAATGCCGTCACCGACGGATTCGTAGAATTGAAAAATGGGGAGAAAATTCCTATTGTGGGTGCTGTCATGTCAAAACAGCCAACTGGTGTTACGAAAGGAATGCCAACGCTGCCTGGAAAAGTTGCGGGCAAAAAGATTACAGTGTTAAGAGATACCGGCAGTTCCACTGTTATCGTGCGGAGAAATTTGGTACGGGAGAGAGAGTTGACAGGCAGAACGAAACCGGTTTGCCTAATTGACCGTACGGTCCGGATGCTTCCCGAAGCAGAAATTGAGGTTGAAACCCCGTACTTCAGCGGGAAGGTTACTGCTTTATGCATGACGACCCCCCTGTATGACCTTGTCATCGGAAACATCGACGGGGCGCGAGGGCCAAGTGATCCAGAAGGTTTGGGAGAAGACCCGAAGATAGAGCCCTCGCCAGCACAGCGGCCGCGAGATACAGTGGAGGAGCATCCCGTGACGGATCTCACTAGAGCACAAGGTGAAGCTGCGGCGCAAGAGACAGCGAAGGAGAAGACGATCGTGTCGAATAAGTTCGCGGGCCGAGCAACCGGACTTACGTCGGCACGACCTCAACCGACCGACAGTGTAAAGGAGACGGAGTTGGCCAGCCGGGAAAAATGTAGAGGCATGATCAAGCGGGTAAATAAACAGACAGGACCCGTCGAATGTAATGACCCGTTAACGGTGTCGGAAGTGACAACGATGGCTGAGACGCCGCCTCAGATATCGTCGTTGGAAAGGGCTCGCCGAAAGGGAACGCGGAAAAACAAGAAGTCGAGCGAGCACCGCAAGAAAGGGCGCAAGCGCTGTTCGAAGTACTCAAGAGAGGTGCTGAGGTGGAATCAGAATGTGTTCGGCAGGGCTGAGTGACATATGTTGTGTTAAGGTTCTTGTTATCCTGTGTCTCAAGTGTATGTCGAGTGAGTCAGTGTTCTGTGCGATGGTGTGATGTATAGTGTTGTATAATTGTTGGATAGACAGAACTTCGTACGGTTGTATTGTTTAGAATGTGTGATGAAGTGTTGTAGGCATGTACCTGTGGCTATATTTCATGTGTTGTGGAATTGAACTACAATGTACGATTGTATTGAGAGATATATTGTGAATGTGAAGTGTCATGAGCGACGGATTGTGTTACAGTCTGTGAGAATGTGTGGTGACTGTTCGCGCTCGTCTGTGTGGTTTTTGAATATTATGAGATAATATTCTTAAAGTGGGGGGCAGTGTCACAGAACGAGCGCTAAACAAGAGCGCGCCGCCAAATACTTGCGACAACGGGCGGCAGAAACGCCGCGAGGTAAAAAGAAAAAAAAGAAAGCAAACATCCAGGGCTCCCGGGCGCGCGCTCTCCCCGCATAAGCACGGCTTCGCAGACGATCCTCCTCACCCCACATCGGCGGCCCAGCAAGACCGCGATTTTTCTCGAACGAAGGAGGCGGGGTCAGACCGAGTGAATCATCCTCGAGAGAGGGCAGTCGAACCGTCTCGTGCCTCTCCCCAGCCTTCGCTGCGTATCGCGCCGACGAAATGACGAGAAACATCTGGAAAGTCGCGCGCAAGGTATTTAACCGAGCAGCCGAGACGAGAAATCAGGAGGAGACGGAAAGTTAGCGCCGGAGCGCGTAGGAATTCCGCCGTGTAGTCGGCGAAGGTTCTGCCCGTAGTGACAGAACAGGAGACGGAAGTGAGCGCCAGAGTGCGTAGAGATTCCGCCGTGTAGTCGGCGAAGTTTTTGGTCCGTAGGGACGGCTCGAGCTACAGGCAAGAGCGTGGGTTTACCGCTATCGAGCGAAGACGCGGGCAACAGCTGCGTGTGTGAAGCCGACGGATTTCCGGCGAAGAAGTTTGAAGCTTGGAGAGTGGCCATTTGAGGACGCGAGGTTTCCTGGAAGAGAAACTTCGAGAACTACGGAACGACAACAACGCTGGACTTTGAGTGAGTGATTCTCGGAAGAGTATCATTCAGACTTTTGTTCCAAGGACTTTGGACTGAATAGGTTATCTATCTCTTTAGTCCTTAAGTGTCTTGGTTGTTCAATGCATGCGACTGCATTGTAGTGCGTATTGTTATCTGTGTCCGTTGTTTTGAGTGTGGCTGATTGTACTGTGTAGTACGTTGTTTGATTGGTGACATATTGTACTAAACTATTGTGGAGTGTGCATACTTGTGTATTGTTTTGATCTGCCATTATTGAGAATATAGTATTTGTTTTGTTTATCAACTCTCGACTCTGACTTGTTCTTTGGGCCACAGCGGGCGTCCGCTGGCGCACCAATAAGGACCACTTCTAAATTGTCCACGCTTTCGTGGTGCGGTTCGGGGGGCCAATACTTCGGCTCTTGGAACTAGCCCGGCGATCGCCTCCCTAATAACGGGACAGGTGTGACAACCGCAAATATATATATATATATATATATATATATATATATATATATATATATATATATATATATATATATATATATATATATATATATATATATATATATATATATATATATATATTTAAGAGGCGGATCGACGCAACTATCATTGCTTTCTATGTTCAAGTTTCGCGCCACGGTAATTTTCAAAGCCACCGCGCCAAGATGGCGGGCGCTCCCGTGCTCACATGCGGAGCAGAGGACGGTCATGTGTATGGTGAGAGGGAGAGAGGCCTCCTCGCGGCTGGTTTGGTAGTGGTCGACGAGGCCCACGTAGATGACGCCTGCGGCCCGCACGCTCACGGTGGTCATCATCATGCACCAGCTGAGGAAGAACAGCACCACCCAGCTGCGCCGAGAGTCCATGCCAGGTGGCGTCGAGGTCGCCGGCGCGCCCGACGACGCCATCTTTGAGCACGGTAGGCTGCGAACGACACAGATAAAAAGAAAACAGAAGTCAGTGGCTATTAAACGCTACGTGGAACTGCGTCAGCATTGCCTATAATCACGTCTAATTGCCTTAAGTTACCACGCCATCTTTGAGGGCGGTAGGCTGGGAGCGACCCAAAGAAAAAAAAACAGAAGTTGGTGGCGATTAAACGCTATGTGGAGCTGCATCGGCGTTGCCTATAATCACGTCTAATTGCCTTAAGTTACCTCGATAAAGGACACTAGCAAAAAAGTTGGTCAAGGGCAAGTCAACAGTACTAAACCTCAGCCCACATAAGCTGCAGTGTTGGCTCGTGCGAGGACGTCAAGTATACGCAGTGCACTTTTTATCTTTTCTTTCTATTTCGTCACCCAGTTTCTCCGTTTATACTCGTTACTCAGATAAGTCATGCGCAGAATGTAAAAAAACGCAGCGATTTTAGAAATATGCCCTGAAAGTGGCCTAACTATACGTATATAGCCGCGACATTTTATGGTAGCAGATCTAAAAGAGATTACTAAGAACTATTCATAGAGCAGGTTTAATTTCATTATTTCATTTTTAATGAGTATTTGTGGAGTATGGGCATTTAAAGGTAGGTTATGGCAACGGAACATAGCGTTTTTTTTCTCTCTGTAAGATAATACGAATACTAATAGATTGCTTTATTTTATTACCCCAAATTAAGTTGCAATAACTCGGATGTGATGTAAAGGGTGCATTAAATATCAAAAGTTTTTCAGAAACTGGCAATAGACCCTCACATTTTTTTAAGACACTTAATACGTTTGCAAAGCTTGTTCTATAAAGATTCTGTATGACAACCCCATTTCATGTGCTGCGTATCTGCGATCATCTGGCATGACCGCGACGCCATCAAGATGACGCGAAGGTACGAACAAGAAACGGCCCACATGAGTAATAGCAAGCCTCGGCTATAGTCGACATACACGTTACATGAGATCACTCGGTTCACCGGTGGTATCAGGAGTAGCGTCACACGACGTTACCTTAAACGCAACCGACAGCAATGTGTACGCTACCACTGTGCGAAATGCGGGCAACAATTAGGCAGCGCGGATCATCTGGAAAGGTCATGTACCACTTTGACGATTTAAACACAATACACTGTACTGTGTTTCAGATATCAACGTTAATCAGACATCAACGTTAAGTAATCAAGACGACAACTTACACGGATCCAGGCCTCTGGCGAGACGCGAACCAGATGTACGTGGCGGAATCGCCAGAAGTGTCTACAACGAAGAAGCGCGCAATAGCCGACGTATTGTAAGAGGTATCGATTCAAGCGAGTGGCACACCACCGGACGGTGATATTAAGGTACCGAAAACCTATAGATAGCCCGTCATCGAATATCAGAGCTGGATTGCCACAACTGGGACAGGACGACCAGCTCAATCGATACTGCTGAAGGTTTGCTTCAAAACATTTGAGCGACAAGTGCAAGCCTATCGGCGCTGTGCTCGAGTGCTGCATATATAGGTGCACCGTTTCACTTTTGCTGATAACGTTTGCTACTGTGGCATTGCGTGTTGACTTTTTTTTTGTCTCTATATTTTTCTCGCATAGGGTCAAAGGCTTAACGGTTTGTCGAGTCATTTTGTTGCTATACCCTGTCCCTTTTTTTTTTTTGCGAGCAACGTTTCCTTTTGTTTGTTTTGTGCGTCTGCGCGTGTGCAGACACGAAATGCACAGACACACCTGTGCTGTGTGTTTATGTGTCTGTCTGTATCAGTGCGTGTGGTGTTTTTTTTTTTTTACTCTGATCAACACTGAGTTCTCTGAACCCTTGATGCTCAATGCAGAACTGTTTTTTTATTATTAAAAAAAACAGAGGGGAAACGTTTATTGAAATTTGAGTGTTCGAGTAATCGCTTTAGGCTGCGGGAAAGACATCGAACTTTGTCAAAAACTCTCTACAGGGCTTTTTTTCGAGCAAGCATAGAATTACTCACTATAAAAAGTGAACGCGCATACGACGAGGACATGTACGCATGACGCTTGAGGTACACGGGCAAAATCTTGATGATGTTTGATGTTTGGTGGGCGCAAGGGTCATTTCATGGCCAAAAAGCGCCAGTTCATGGTACTATAGAGATATGTACAATGATTGCGATAAGCGGCTGCATAAGGGCCTTAAAATTCCTCGCGCTAAGGCGGGTAAAAACACAAACGTAATAAAATCGCGACCATGCCATGAAAATTGCGTGGTGTTAATAGATGACAAAACTTGTGATTATAAAAACGACGATTGACATGTATGGCATCAGCACAAGCGCCTCCATCATTCACACCCTAACGTCCAAGGGCCGTGAGGCAAGTGCTTTGTTGAGTGTAGCCACCGCAGCGGAGACCTCTCTGGAGAGGTCGTGCTACGGAATACCCGGGTATATGACGTGAAAAGTACGGACGCCTCCCCCCTTCCTGAAAAAAAAAAAAAGCCGACAACGATTTACGCGTGAAAGTGGTTCCCTATACCGACGAATATTGCAGGATGAAGTGGTATCTGTTGTCGGTAGGGTAACGGAAATTGTTGTCTTCTCAGCGTGTCTAATTCTTTACACAGGATTAGAATGTGAAGTACGGTGAGTGCTTCTCCACATCTGTCACACAAAGGTAAATCACCCCCAGACAAAAGAAATAAATGTGTTGCGTGTGTATGTCCTGTTCTTAATCTTGTAAGGATTACTTCTGTGTGGCGTGATTTTGGGACTGGCGGTCAATGACCAAGTCGCGGTTTGATGACATGCAATTTATTACCTGTGTGTGTGTCCCATGTGCGCTGCCAATAAGCCCTTAGCTTTCGTTTTATAAAAGGTTTCAAGTCGAGTTCAGGGATTAGTATCAATGTAGCGGTTTTGTTGGCGGATTCAGCTAGCTGGTCCACCAGAACATTGCCTTGTATTTCGCGGTGTCCTGGCACCCAACAGACTACAACATGCTGCTTGGATAAGTAGACTGTGCATAAGAGCGAATAAAGTGAAACAAGGACAGGGGTTTTGAGCTTTTTAAGCGTTTTCAGAGCTTTTATTATACGCTTAGGGAATTCGTATATATTATTGTCTTCTGCAGTTTTATTTGTTTAATGTATTCAACGGCCACAAGTATCGCATAAGCTTCGCCGGTGAAATCCTTGTATCAGAGTGCAGAATCTTCATTACACACGTTGCAACAAAATCTTATTTAGAAACGAGCAGCCGCTTGCTTATTGGCGAGAAAAAAAAAAACCGTGACATCACGTATATGTGCCGCCCGCAGATAATTCCTGTCTTCGCGAAAAAAAAAAAAAACTTGCTCCTAAGAAAAATTATTGGCGGTTTCGACACACACTTGTCACCTACGCTGTCAATTAGTTAAGCTTCAGTGATCTCTTTCATCGATCAAACCAATCGAAATTTGTATCGAGCAACAAAAAGCACCGCTGCTGGAACGAATGCGCATCTTTCCAAAGCTTGTGGTGTAGACGCTTTCAGCAGCCGTGATAGGCCACCCCAATTTTTTTTTAACAGGAAAGTTCTTATGCCTACTTCAGTGTCCCTGAGAATTAAAAAAAACAGCTATCTTACTCCTCCTTTGGCGCTCCAAAAGCTCCAAATGGCGAAGATATCTTCTTCCAAAGGATATATCTTTCTTGTCATGGTTTCATTTTCATTGTTGCGTTGCTTTGCAAAAGTGGTTGAGTATATACGCTGCCAAAAAGAATAAACACTTGGCTCTCCGTCTTCGCAGTTGTCTCCGTTCTTTCGTTTCGTCCCGTCTTATAGCGCCGTTTCTTGCACACAAAGCGGTGCAATCTTATCCCGCTGTCATACTGTAAGGAAACTTAGCGCAACTTGGAAATCCTTCGGAACACTCACACAAGCACACACGCTTCCCCTCAGAAACACGCCCCGCCGCGGTGGTCTAGTGGATAAGGTATACTCGGGCTGCTGACTCGCAGGTCGCGGGATCGAATCCCGGCTGCGGCGGCTGCATTTCCGATGGAGGCGGAAATGTTTTAGGCCCGTGTGCTCAGATTTAGGTACACGTTAAATAACCTCAGGTGCTCGAAATTTCCGGAGTCCTCCACTACGGCGTCTCTCATAATCATATAGTGGTTTTGGGACATTGAACCCCACATATCAATCAATCAATCAATCCATCAAGAAACACGCACCACACACAATGCAAGCAGTGTGTAAGTGTGTGAGTGTTTAGAGGGATTTCCAAGTTGTGCTAAGTCCTCTTACAATATGATGACGAGTCACAACCTATAGCATAACAAGCTTTGACAATCTTATCCCGAAGTTTTCCCCGTCCAGGACGCTGAAAACCTTTTCTGCGAGCTATTCCATGCAAACTGAGCTGCTATGGCTGTTCTGTACTAACAGACAAACATAAAGGAGACGAAGATATGAAAGGGATAAATCTGAACATAAACGAAAAGGCCACCGACAAGATCGCAGTCGTGCGGTCAGCCTCGACGCCCTCATCAAATGCGCATTGAAACTGAAGCCAGGAGTTTTTTTCTTTTCTTTTCTTTTTTTTTTTTGGTGGTTTCATATACGTAGGAATGGGCAAACCCGGAAATCTCGAGCCAGATGCATAAGCCCGCCCAGTCTGCCCGACCTATACGACCTGTCTGCGTCATTAACCAGCCGCTGTACGTCGACAACGCACGCCTACATGGCGTCAGTCTCTTCCGCATTCACAGCCGTTATATTCTCTTCCACTATACCACCGTTAACGGCTGACTATACTGCTGAGGGGAAATAACGTAGGAGGAATGAACGCGCATGTTTTGAGAAACAGCCTGAAAGTGTTCTCTCTCGCACGATATGGGCGGTTTCTCTCGGTCCCGAAACAGTGCCTGACCCGCCAGGAAATTCTGGCGACCGGGCACGGGAGTAGTATTGCTTAAAGATCGAAAGAAGAAAAAATGTTGGACCCTTCGCTCGAACGTGATTGCGGTTTTCACACGCACGCACGCACA